GTGGAATCATCCTCAGGTAGTGTAGATTCAAGTTTGTTCAAGTCATGACCCCCGGGGCAAGGGTGGGGCCAAAATGGCCGACCCAAGTTTTACGTAGGAATATATATATAGAAAAAATATTTAAAAATCTTCTTCTCAAGAACCACTGGGCCAGGAAAGATGAAACTCATGTGGAATCATCCTCAGGTAGTGTAGATTCAAGTTTGTTCAAATCATGACCCCCAGGGCTAGGATGGGGCCAAAATGGCCGACCCAAGTTTTACATAGGGATATATATAGGGAAACCTTTTAAAATCTTCTTTTCAAGTACTTCAAAGCTATAATTAGTGATAGTTATATGGAATCATCCTCAGGTAGTGTAGATTCTAGTTTGTTCAAATGATGAATGCCAGGAGGGGGGGGGAGTAAATTCAAGCCTGATGTGCTCAGGTGAGCACTGTGGCCCCTGAGCCTCTTGTTTCAAATGATTACTGCTGTACAAAAACACTGTATATTTATACCCCACGCAACTAGTTGCATGAGGTATAATGTTTTTGACCCGTCCGTCAGAGTGTCAGTCAGTCAGTTAGTCCTTTTTTTGTAAGCGTAACTCCTCATAAACCGCTGCATAGAATTTCGTCAAACTTTGCAGATATATAGGACACACTGTTTAGATTTGCATATTACCAGGAAATACTGCTTTCATTATTTTTTCCGGAAATTTCCGCACTTTTTAACTTAGGCATTTGGCCATACCTTGAATATAGAGATGAACAGTTTGTCAGCGCAACTCCTCATAAACCGCTGCACAGAATTTCGTCAAACTTTGCCGATATATAGGACACAATATGTAGATGTGCATATTATCAGAAAATTCCGATACCATTATTTTTTCCGGGATGTTCCGCACTTTTTAACTTAGGAATTTGGCCATACCTTTTATATAGAGATGAATAGTATTTCAGCGCACCTCCTCATTAAAACCGCTGCACAGATTTTCGTCAAACTTTGGAGATATTTAGGACACAGTGTGGAAATGTGCATATTACCAGAAAATTCTGACTCCTTTATTTTTCTGGGAATTTTGACACTTTTAAATTTGAATTTTGGCCATACCTTGAATATAGAGATGAACATTTTGTCAGCTCAATTCCTCATAAACTGCTGCAAAAATTTTCGCCAAACTTTGCAAATATTTAGGACATTTTACCAGGAAATTCAGATTCCATTATTTTTCTGGGAATTTCGGCACTTTACAACTTAAATGTTTGGGGATATCTTGAATATAGTGATGAAAAGTTTGTCAGCGCAACGCCTCATAAGCCGCTGCAAAGAATTTCATCAAACTTTGCATATATTTAGGACGCAATTTGTAGATGTGCATATTACCGGGAAATTCTTTCATTTTTTTCCGGTATTTGCAGCACTTTGAGTTTTGGGGGAGCGTGGGTTATGTGAGCTTGCTCACTTTTTCTTTCATTTTGTACTATTTTGTACTATTTTTATCTCTTTAAGGTATTACCATCCTCCTATGATTTCACAGGTTTTTGCAAAAACTGTACATAGATTAATTTCATTTCATACCAAATAGTACAATATTTTTTGGAAGAATGCTTTTCAATGGGTGTCATGGTAAATATTCTTAAGTAAACGATTTTTTAAAATGTATATTTTATTTATTTAATCAATTATTCAGTTTCTAGAAAATGTTGACAAGGGCAATAACTTCTTCTCAGGTTTTTTCATTCAGGCATTTTCTATATTGTACTCTTAATGTAAATAACTTCCCTGATATTATATTCAGAATTCAAAAATATCTTATAAGTAGCAAGTATTTTGGAACTTTCATTTGAACCAGTTATATTAATTTTATATTGTTTACAAAACATGTACAGCATTTTAATGCTGATGTTTACATGTACTTCTGTTTATTAATGTCTCCAATCTTAAATATTTAACATTGCAACCTTTACATTTTTGCAATAATTGGAATTTAAACCTACATTTGTATATTAAATGAAAATAAATGGAAGTTTTGTACTTTGAACCATTAACATTTTGAGAATTTTGGACTATTTAATTATAAGCGAGTGCAAAAGTAGCTAAAGTTGGTAAAACTAATAAAGGTTGTTTTATGATTCTATTTTGTCTAGAAATGTACATCGATAAAATCGTAGAAAACGCCCAGTCAGATCCACATCGCAGCATTAATTATTCAAGGTTATTGCAAAAACTGCACGTAGGGGAATCCGGGAGAGATATTGAAGAGAAATTAAAACATGGGATCCTGGAATGGCTAAATAAGACTAGTTATCAATACTTGATCTCAGGTCTACTCAGTGCTTTGGAGGAGACAGGATTTTCATGTACCAAAGGTAATACTTCTTATAATGGACACGTATTCTATTGCTGCTGATAAGAATGATGGATGATCCAAATGCCTTATAGGGAATATTAGATTTTTCTGTCCATTATATATTCTAATGCATTTGTTTTGTAAAACACTTTTTCATTGGCTAATGTACTTATGTTTGAAGCAGTAAAACGAGCATTAACGAGCATGAAAGTTTTTTCATTGTGACGTCATAATAGAGCGACGCACAAACACAATGCTCCTTGACGTATTTCATGTAACAAAATTCATCAAAATAAGACGTAAACAACAAACAAAATGCATGGATTGCATTAGAATGGGAATAACTGATCTCCTACTTTGGTATTTGCGACCGTTAATGCTGATTTAACGGTCGCAAACATCCGTTTTACCGACTCCCTTTACGCGTCGCCGGTAAAACTCAGTTTGCTACCGTTAAATCAGCATTAACGGTCGCAAATACCAAATTTAGAAGATAGTTATTCCCTAAGTCATACGAGGGCCGTTCAAAAATTACGCGGACTGTGCTATTATTTACTCTTACAGACGTCATAGAGTTATGAAGTTTCACAGAAATATGTATCGTAAAGATTCCAATAAATTTTGGGCAAAATTTCTGTATTTCAAAAATATTCTACTAAAATTATCGGTATGTTGATATTAAGAGGTACGGCGCACTACAAAAAAATTGAAGCAAAAGCATGAGGATTCAAAAATTTAACTCGTTGATTTTCTAAAATTCGCGATATTTTTTCAACAATTTTCTCAAATGTACCTTTAAATTGTTCTATTATTATGTATATAGATTTCAGACGTAATATTTGAAGTACTAACAGAAATATAGTGATTTTTCTCTAATGCGATTCCCGAGAAAACGACTGTGAAAATGACGTCTCTTGAATTGACGGCGCACCAAATTTTTGCAAAAATATGTGTAATGCTCGAGATATCGGCAACATAGATCCAAAATATGCATAATAAAACATGTAGTAAACTAAGTTACTCGTGACATTCGCCCACAAATAGCAAATTGAAATTTTAGACAGTTAGACCTCTGTAAAAAGACTATATGGAAGGACGGGAAGAAGATTACAGACGAAAAGTTCACTTTATCCGGACTGTAAAGAACGTGATTGAGAGTTACCAAAATCACATTATATATTATAAGTAGTGTTTGGTTTTTAAACAAAAAAAGAAAATTCTTTACTTGTTTGATATATTTTAAGCTTGACAAGAAAGGTCTTTTGATGTTGAGGAGAAAAGGTAACTCAAACTATATAGGTACTCAAAGGAAAATGTTGAGAAAATGAAAGCTCAATCACATAATTTTTATAAGGCTTGTGACTTCGAAGATTTTGCTGCGCCGTGACTAATATAAATGGTATGTCCTGAAAAATCACCCAAAATTAATACCAATTTACAACATTTTGATATGAAATTTTGTAAACCATGTAAGTAAAGATTCTTTTATATTATTTGTGACATTTTGCCCGATTATATCGTCAAATAATTTTTCAGTGCAACAAGTCCGCGTAATTTTTGAACGGCCCTCGTACTTTATCTATCCGTACATTTATGCATGTTTGAGCAATTTAGTGCTTATAATCATTTCTAAATAGATTTATCTCAAAGAGAGAACCGAATTGCTGATCACATGTTTTGTTGAAAAAAAATACATTATTTCCTATGGAGCTTGTAACACAGGCTTTAATTGGTTACAAACTTTGGTGTAAATTTTGTTATTGATTGTTTATTGTTTTAATAACCTTCTGAAGACTTTTTCACTCAAATGAAAATATCACCATTTGTCGGTTGAGGGCTGTAAATATTACATGTAATTTATAATTGCCACTCAGGGCCATTGAGAAGTGTGGGATCTTTTTCATGCCAGCATCTACCAAATTGAATGCACACTATGTACTGAATCTTTCACATAAGTATAATATCTTCTGAACAAGTAGTTTTTTTCATAGAAGATTTTGAAAGAATTTTCTTATGACTATATGTTATCTCCATATATTTCAATAAAAAAAATGACCACCTTCTGTAACACATGAATATACACTTTACAATGAATCTTTCACATAAGTTACAACTTTTCTGACAGTTTTAAAAGATATCTTCAAAGTTTTTATTCCCCTAATTTTTAACTTCTTTCCTTGAAAGAGGGCATGGCTATTAATTTGAACAAACTTTTATACCTTTATCCACGTTTACTTTAATCTGGCAAATTTTGTTGAAATTCACCAGTACTTCTTGATTTTGTTTTTCCTAACTGGTATATACGCTAAAATAAAATTATAAAGCCCCTCCCTATTCTGAAATTTCTGGATCCACCACACAGCGGCAGAAAGATCGTAATAAGTGATACTTATATGGAAGAATCCTCAGGTATCTTCAAATCATGACCCCTGGGCTATGCTAGGGACAAAATGAGTCCTTCAAGTTATTCAAAGGAAAAAAAGGATATATATATATATATAGAGAGAGAGAGAGAGAGAGAGAGAATAACACATACCCTTATTCATATCACATATCCTATATTATAGTTGATACACCAATATCAGCCTGAAATACGAAGGTCCGACGGCTGATATTGGTCGGGGGCTGATTGGGGTGTGATATTGATCCGTATAAGCCCTGCAGGGCTGAAATGACTATTGTGACCACAGGCATATCACATACATGTATGCAAAAATCCTGTATCTATTTTGATTTACGAAGTATGTAATAATTATCAATAAATAGTTCCGTAACAATAACAGTTAGGCCGTGTTTAATCATTTTGGGCTATTAAATAGGTCAATATATTTTAGATAGATATTTATAAGTACATTATTAAATCTTTTACTCAAAATCAGCAAGGCAATGATTAGTGATACCGGTATTGATATGGAAGCATCGCCATACTTAAATACCGATGAACGACAAGCACAGTGAACTTAGGCAGACTATAGTGAAATGAATAATTTACCCTAGTAAACTCTATTTTTATAAAAATACTATTGTTATATGTTTCTTCGGGGTACCTTGTTAAACTGTTATCCCACAAATTCAGTGGCTTGCTGAGGGGAAGACAAGGTCGACAAAAGTTTTCAAGGGATAACAATATTTCGTCCTTATATTACCCTAAAAATATGTTACATCTTTTGTTAATATAGTACTGAATGTATTTAATATGTATTTAAATGAAAAAATCACAATGAACCTAATGCACTGAAATCGTTTTTATACTATAATACTATGCTATGTAATGTTACTCGGAGGGCGTGGTTTACAAATTGTATAAATTGTTTTAACATGAAAATATACCAAATATATTTATTCATTTTCATTTGTAAAGAGGATTTTAATTTCCAGAAACATTTTCCATGGAACACAACGGAATTTTCTTTAATAATAATCTTCTTTAATAATATAGGAGGGCCGTTCAAAAATTACGCGGACTTGTTGCACTGAAGAAATATTTGACGACAAAATCGTGCAAAATATCACAAATGATATAAAAGAATCCTTACTTATATGGTCTTCAAAATTTCATATCAAAATGTTGCAAATTGGTTTAAATTTTGAGTGATTTTTCAGGACATACCATTAAGTCACGGCGCAGCAAAATCTTCGACGTCACAAGCATTTTAAAAATATATGATTGAGCTTTCATTTTCTCAACATTTTCCCTTAAGTACACTGTACCTGTTTAGTTTGAGTTACCTTATCTACTCAATATAAAAACACCATTTCTTGTCAAGCTAAAAATCTATTAAACAAGTAAAGGATATTCTTTTTTTTTGTTCTAAAACCAAAAACTACTTATGAAATATAGTGTAATATTGGTCACTCTCATTCACGTTCTTTACTTTTCGTCTGTAATCTTCTTCCCGTCCTCCCGTATAGCCTTTTTACAGAGTTCTAACTGTCTAAAATTTCAATTTGCTATTTGTGGGCGAATGTCACGAGTAGCCTAGTTTACTACATGTTTTATTATGCATATTTTGGATTGATGTTGCCGATATCTCGAGCATTTCACATATTTTAACAAAAGTGTGGTGCGCCGTCAATTCAGGAGACGTCATTTTCACAGTCGTTTTCACGGGAATCGCATCAGAGAAAAATCACTATATTTCTGTCAGTACTTCAAATATTACGTCCGAAATCTAAATACATAATAATAGAACAATTCAATGTACATTTGAGAAAATTGTTGAAAAATATTGCGAATTTTAGAAAATCAATGAGTTAAATTTTTGAATCTGCATGCTTTTGCTTCGATTTTTTTTGTAGTGCGCCGTACCTCTCCATCAACGATATCAACATACCGATAATTTTAGTAGAATTTTTTTAAAATACATAAATTTTGCCCAAAATTTATTGGAATCTTTAAGATACATATTTCTGTGAAATTTTATAACTATACGACGTCTGTAAGAGTAAATAATAGCCTAGTCCGCGTAATTTTTGAACGGCCCTCGTCCTTCTTTTCACATAAATAAGGCACATTGCTCACTATTACATTTCCTAATTATTGTTATTCATTTGTAGAGAAGACCATGAAATTCATCGAGGACAACCCTATTTATGTATATTTTGGTCGCACAAGAGAACACTTTAAGTATGATCCGTATCGTTTGAGATATGACATTCCATTCTACAGCAAACAGGAAGAAGATGACGTTGCTTTATTAGAAGTTAATTGGACAGATTTACCAAAGTCATTTATTTTGGCCATATCTGGAAAGCGACCAGAAAATGTTACCATTATTGGTCACCCAGCCTCCCATGGCAATGAACAGATTATTGACAGAAGATGTCCGTTGATTTCGGAATGTGATGCCTTTCAAACTCACTGTAAAGCACTTTCATGGTGGAAGGTGAATTATCCTAATTTTGACCATAAACAAGTTAAAAATGATTATGATTCTATGTTTAGGAGGGAAAAGGTACTGTTCCATTGCTCAGAATCCACAACTCATGGTGCTTCTGGTGGCCCTGGGATCATTGATTTAGACAAAAGCTTGCCAAAAGTGTATTTAATGCTCCAAGAGGGAATCCCAGGTTTTGTACATAATGTGCATGATACATCTATGAAAGAAATATTGAGGACTTGCCCTAAAGAATGCCTTGTTGAGAGTGGGATCAGCATGTCCAGGGTATATGACCTTTTAAGCAATATACCACAATTGAAAGAGTTGCGAGATAACATTTTTCACACACAAATATGACTGTGTTTATGGTTTTATTTAATCAACGAAATAGCTATGGATAAATAATGATAATATATCGTTGTCAGAATCAGGAAACAAGAACTGAAACAAAATTTTGACACTTGAAATAACTGAAGCAAAATGAAGCAACAATGACTCGAAATCAATTTATGCCCTGTTGACACGGAGAGTTTATTGCGCAGTAAATAAATACGAAATAAATTACGAAATAAATTAATGCCAATTAAATTGCGTTCACACGACAGCTAATGTGAAGTAAACAAACGCGAATGAAATTTTATTTCTACAAAAAACCCACTGTTCTTTTAGGCTATTATGACGTCAATTGTAAATCACGTCATGTATGCAGAGCCATCCAATTGATATCATGATCATAGTGGCTACTATTAGTTATGTAGACACTTAGGGAGGTAATACATATTGGGCGATGCGTTAGCCGAACCTAATATGTATATTTACAAGGACCCCCACATAATTCCCAATGACCCCTCCAAGTGTCTACATAATGAATTTATCCTGTTGAAGATTTCTTAATGAAGTTCAATTTACTAAGCAAATAGTTTACATTTTGACATCGATTAATGTTAATAAGACGTCAGTTATCAGGTGCTTTGTGTACTCAAATGAAAATAACAATGATCTGTGTAGTATTTCACGTGGAGGGGGGTCATTAGCAATATGAGGTAGGTGGACAGCGTAACATCGTTTCATGCAGTATTCTTCTGAACCAGTGAAATTTTACAATTTTTCTAAGAGGCAGGATAAAGATATACATTTAGTGATAAACATGCTTTTCCTTGATTTTTGTACCACATATAGCACTGATATCTATATCTAACCATCAACATGTGCCCTGTGACTGCATTCTGACCTCATGCATGTGACAAAATTTAATTTGAATTAGCTTCGCTTAACGTTCACAAGGATCTAATGAGAAGTCATTTAATGCGCAGTAAATTAATTCAATTGTACTAATTCGCATTAAGTTCTTCGTGTGAGCAGGGCAATAAGTTTCTGAAAAATCTGCATAAAAAAAAAATAAAATAAAAAATGAAAATAAAAAATTTGCAATTTTAATAAAATTATTGACAATATTTTGGGTTTTCAAGGTTTTGTCCCTGTTAATCATAAGTTTTGTACTAAAAGTCTGGAAAAATATCCTTCTTTCTTTTCCGGATGTGATGCCTGTATTTCTTCAAAGTAACTGAAAGCACACATTTTCATTGCTAATGTTGGAAATTCTCAAAATAAAGAAAAGCGAGAGCCACAGATGCAAATATACACCACGTAACGACTCTTCGGGCCCATGTGTTTCAAAAGCATGAACGACATTTCCTTGGTCGGAAGGGAGGATGTTTTAGAGTTATGTGTTACTTTATAAGGTTTAAAGATAAGAATGAATACATAAATGTTAAAGTAAATTTACAAAACAATGATACTTCATTTAAACTTTAAATGTTATCTTAAGACCTCAGAAAGTAACACATAACTTTTAAAACACCCCCCTTCCGACCATTCAATTAAAACGTCCTAGTCCGCCAGGACACAACCCGCATTCTGTCATGTAGTAGGTTTATCAATGTCTTATCCTAAGCGAAATAAATATTTTTGTGCATCTTTAAATGCCTGTTTTTTCAGATACTGAGGTCGAATTTTCTCAAACTTGGCGTAGTGTAGTAACCCTTGGACTTCCGGTCAAAGAAATGTCATTCATGCTTTTGAAAGACAAGGGACCGAAAAGTCGTTATGTAGTGTATATTTGCATCTGTAGCTCTCGCTTTTCTTTATTTTGAAAATTTCCAACATTAGCAATGAAAATGTGTGCTTTCAGTTACTTTGAGGAAAGACAGGCATCACATCCTTTTGAAACACAAGGGCTCAAAAAGTCGTTATGTAGTGTATATTTGTATCTGTAGCTCTCGCTTTTCTTTATTTTGAGAATTTCCAACATTAGCAATGAAAATGTGTGCTTTCAGTTACTTTGAGGAAAGACAGGCATCACATCCGGAAAAGAAAGAAGGATATTTTTCCAGACTTTTAGTAAAAAACTTATGATTAACAGGTACAAAACATTGAAAACCCAAAATATTGTCAATAATGTTATTAAAAATGCTAATTTTTATTTCTGTTCAGGGGGCTAAAAATCAACTTCCGGAAATGGAACGAAATCGTTCAACCGTTAAATAACTGATTTGGCAAAGTAAAATATGTCCTAACCTTTTTGGTACATAGTTATATCCCGTACATAATTTCCACCCCTTAAATTAGGGCGTTGCGTTTCTATTGACGATGAGTATATTTTGTAGTGCTCTATTTTTACTGTATACGTACTGTTTTTATATATTTTGCAAATGTTTTTTATCTGTAAATTAAGGGGATCAGTATATTAATATGTATTTGTGTGATTACCTTTTGATCTGATCCCCTTACATGTGATGTATATATTTTTTCTTATTTTGTCATTTTAATAAATGACTTACTTCATCTCAACTGGGTCATTTTCAAAAAAAAGGCCACTTTTTTGTCTTTTGATCAGAAAAAAAGGAAAAACATTTTTTAGAGTGAAAGTTTTTTTCCCGTTGGTTTATATACATGGTCACAGCTTATAAGTTATTTTATGATCATCTCCCAGGTGTTTTATAAAAAAAATATTCTATGCATTCCGAGTAAAATTTAACAGTTAAACCATGTCACATTAACAATAATTTTATAACGTGCTTATTTAAGTGATAGGGAAAAATTACCATGTGAAGATATGTACAAATTTTGCACCTCATATTAATTGAATTTATTTACAGATTAATTTAATATGATTGGTTTACTTCTGCCGCCCACTTAATACTAGTATTGTGCATTTAACATTAAGGAATTGACATGTCCCTCCAGTTTATGTCATTCCTGTTACCGAAAAGAAAATGTTAAAATAAAAGTTATCTCACTTTCCAAGGAACCGTTTTCATGATCCACAATATATCATCATTTTCTGTTGTCTCAAGTTTACGAGCGCCATGATTTGAAATTGGGTAAAGAAAGAGTTCAAAGGTCGACACGTTTGTCTTATTGGTAGAGTATAATGAAAATATGTCCTATCTGTTACCTTCTTAATATGCAAGTACTCTTTAAATTGTTCATTCTGCTAAAATAATTAGATTAACTAAGCTACAAAGAAATTGTTTCGATGTCTCGATATAGCAAAAAGGGTACGTTATACTAAATAACGGGTGATTTATATGAAAAACGTCCATCCTGTTACTGTCATTTCTGTTATCATTAATATGGTAACAGCAAGGAAAACTGGACTTCATATCTTGAGTTTTAACAATAAAACAATTACTTTTATTTTTCTAAGTAATATAAGTTTAATAACACATGTTAAAAAACTTCGTAAATCATAAATGTTTTTTATTGTCTCAAATTTGCCAGATTTGACAATATCATGTTTTTATTCTACATTTGTTTCTCTTTTCCTAACCAATTACTTTCAAAAAAGTCAATTTTTTATTAAAAATGTAGATTTATTTCATTGTCCATCCTGTTACACTGTTTTGTCCATCCTGTTACTGTTTTGTCCTTCCTGTTACCCGAGTCCTTACTGTTACCAGTATATTTTCCTAGTTTAAATTACTTTGGCAGAGCACCTGTTTAAATAACTTTCTATACTGTTTATTCTAATCACAAAAATAATGTACAAGAATGTTTTTTTCAACTATAGCATATAAATATTCAACGATATGGCTTTTCATGAAGAAAAACCAATAGATTTTGCTTCTGTTTGATATATGGTAGTTTGACATGCTTTTAAACGCTCATATATTAGATGAATGTCAAACATCCTGGCATTCAATGATATTTTGTTTTCATTTTTTGACGATATACAAAAGATTATTTGATAAAACTTTTGAATTAGAGTTTTACAGCTCTATTTATAAAAGTTACAGGAAGGACATTAAAATTTAAATGACTAGGATAAAATTTCAATAATTTTTAAAAGATTTTTTTTTATGCAATGCAGTGGATTTTAGGAGTTTATTACTACATTATTCAAATAGATTTGAAAAAAAATCATAGTAAAACCACTTTCATTTTTCAAAAATATGTCATTCAAAAAATGGACTTTTTTTGAAAATGACCCAACAATGGTGCTGATTTTATTTGATTATATCTCAACAAAATCAGAGGTGTAGAGAGATTGTGCAGCATGAGGAAACATAAATCTTTATTTTGTTCCTTCGTAACAAAGAGAGTTAAACTTTTGTCAGTGAGTTTTCATAAATTTACATACTCAATGTTTCATAGTTTTCATGCTATCTTTTGTCGTCGCCCGTTGTGCGTCATGTGTTAACATTTAAACATTTTCAGCTTCTTCTTTAAAAGCACTCAACCAATTTCAACCAATTTTGTCATATAGCATTTATGGGTAATGGAGAGTTATAATTATGAATTTTATGGCTCCTGTCCTACTCACCCCCACCTCCGGGACCTAAAGGGTGGGGCAAAGACGACTTAAATTAATGATATCTTTCAAAAAAAATCTTTATAGACTTTATGTCTAGGAATAACGAATTTTTTTGAAAGATCCATCACATGTTAGGGGATCATCCAAAACTGTTGGCATGATTGTAATAGGCATTGAGCCCTCTGATGTTAAGGCGAGGCTCTAATGATGATATTGTGAAAATGCATGACTATTTTGAAAATTTTCTCCTCTGCTCCGGGGTATTAAACCAATAAACTATGTACATAGTCTTGATGAGAAAGGTTTTTTTCCCAAAATTGTGATTTTCATGGCCCCTGTTTCAGGTGTTCTGGTGTTAGGGCGTGGCTTTATAAATTATGTAGTTAAAATGCATTAATTATTAGAAAATCTTCTCCTCCGAATCAATAAACCCTGTGCATTGGTATGACGAAGAAGGGTTCCTCTTCCA